TATGAGAGGCCAATCTGGCTTTCACCGGGACTTGGTTTCGGGAGTCGGACGGTTTATGTACGTTGGGTAAAGATGCTCCTCGGGTGCCCAGTGGTGGATTATAGCCTTAGATATGGGCAAAAGCTTCATTACTTGACGTATATTTTTAACCTTCAAAAATAGCATTTTGCCAAATTAGCCATCTTTTACTGATTATAAACAAATAACATCTTATATTGCACTTTCAAGATACCTAAACAATACACATGCATTGATTCTATACCTCTCTGACGAAGTTAAAACTGAACCATGTAGCCATATGGGATTTATAACAACAAATGCATCTCTTATGATATATTAATATTAAATTACAAAATACATACTCACACTGTGAACTTTTACGGTGACAGCTTGACCAACTTCTCCTTTTAGCTTTTCCCAGTTGCTTCACTTTTCACTACATCAACACTTTCACCTAATTCGACTCAAGAAAATTCATTAAACATTATTTTTCCATTTTTCTTTGTGTTGATTGTTTTCACCAGTTCATCAGCGTCATCTATTCCAAGATAACAAAGAGATAACATGCCCCAATTGCAATTCCAAGATAGAATCAGTAAGACTACAAATTAGGGATCTTATCCTACGAATTTGACAAACTCAAGAAGTTTTATAGAAGAGTGAACTAAAGTTGATAGTATTAAGTCTATAGTACACAAAAAAAGTGATAGGCCGATTTGTGTGGTTTGACTTCCTCATGTTATTTATGCAATCTCAGAATAAAAAAGAACATGTCTTTTACTTATCTTTTTGTCTATATTACTTATGAAGATCTAGAAACATACAGACTTCTATATTCTATTAACAGGAAATGGAAATTATACCTGAAACATAAGCATCACAATTGAATGGACAGATAAGAAGTCAATGATTGCAGTTTATCCTCAATCCCACAGTGCCGTACATCCAGGATTCTCTTCATGGCATTCAAAAAAATTCCCAGCTGCAGGGATAGAAAAAATTAACAACTCGCACTACTGAATTGAGAAAAGTATTCATCAATTCACCAATTTGAGCAAAAAAATCAATTCTAAACCAAATAAGATTAAGTTCAGAGTATAATAACAAAAAAATACAGCAACATTAAACGGAAAACAACAAAACCGTCCTCATCGTACTCTCTACGACCTTCATTTTCATTCTCATCCTCCCCTTTGTCTACTTCTTCTCCTCACTTTTAGTGGGTGCGGAGATGTCCATGGCCAACTTCTCGGATGCGAATTTTTGGATCTTGTATTCTCTTGTCTCATCCATCTTTGAACCAGAGTGAATTAGGTTAGGAGGAGGTAGCCATGATCATAGATCCACAACTTGAAAAAGTGCTCGAGGTAGATGGTGAGTTATTATATGAAAATGCCCCCAAAATCAATGAACCTAATGCGAGATCCAAGTACGAATCTTGCGTACTTGGTGGTCGGCGAATCTCTGCGGCCGTAGATCGCTATCGATTTGACGGTGGTGGAGCTATTTGCGGTTGATGCGAGCTCAGGATTTTGGGGCTGCTGTCAATCAAATGCTGTTGTTGTCAATGTCGACGCAGTAGAGGCGTTTGCCACTGCAGTTGAGGCATTTTCAGGGCAGTGGAATAGTTGAGAACGGTGGTTGGCTGTAGGGGGAGGATATTGAGGTCAAGCTGGGTTGGAGACGAAGTGAAGATGAATCTGAGGAGAGAGGAGAGAGCATGTTGGTTTGGGGTTTGAGATTGGAGAGACAACTTACTTCAATCGCTTTCACTTTGTTGCGTGTGCGGGTTTTCCGGGAAAGTGACTCATATCATATAATAAATGAAAATAATATCCTAAAAAGGACCGTGAAACCAAGGGTAATTTGATAATTGACAACAATGGCAAAATCGTAATAAATTCTTACCCGTGTCAATTTTAAGAGCTCAAAATTGACATGTCTGACAATTCTGCGAAAAGGAAGAAAATATTTGTGTTGACCTGGGAATTCTGGTGAATCGTACTGGAACTTGGAAGCCACGACATTGAAAAATATGAGGCTGAAAAATAAAAAACCTACATCCAGTCCACAAAATGCAACCCAAATAGCAAGATGAAGTGGGACACGTGTCGCCATTTTAAGCCTACGAAATGGGACACGTGTCAACCATAGAAGTGGACTAACTCGTTCATATAAGATATAAGAGAGATATGGTTGATGAAAAGAATTAGTTTTAAAATAATATTAATATTATTATCATATTGTTTGCTTGAAAGCCAACCGAATCTTGTTTGGTTAACTATAGCCTTTCTCCTTCTCAGTTTCTCACTCTACTACAGAGTATACTTTTCTTTAAGTTTAAGAAGAGAAGATGGAGTGAGTGAGGTGGAGCATGACTTTAACGTGCAACCCCCTTTTCTTTATTGCTTCTTCTGTTTATTTGCTGGCCAAAAAATGTGAGATGTAACCGACTAATAAATAATAAACGTTACCACCAACCTTAATTTCTCTTCTAATGACACACTACCACAACTCATCTCCACAAATTTTGAATCAATATATGAAATAAATAATTGCAAAAAAAAAGAATATGAAATAAATTTAATTTCCTAGTTAATTAATTTATATTCATATTATAAAATATCATATTTTTATTTATGTTATATTGTATGCGTATATGACATTTCAACATGAATATATGTAAATATATTAAAAAAGTATGACTGCATAACAAAAAATTTACTTTAACACCTCTTTTTTTTAAAAAAAAAAACATAAAAATATTATTTTGTTAATTTGTTTTTCCACTTTTTAAGTGTATAATATCATACACCACCACACATTTTCACCGGTCATATATTAATTCACATAGTATTTAGTATCTCTAACACCATTTTAGTATGGCATGTTTGGTCGTGAAAGAAGTCTATGTGATTTCTTGTCATAGATTTGTGAACTTTGGTGCAATCTTTGATTTAATTAATTATGACTTTTTCAGGATTCAACAAAAAAATGATGTCCAAATTAAGAACTGAATGAACTGTATCACTGTTTTTAGATTGGATGATAACTCAAGTGTGTGTGAGTTGGAATTACATACCTTCAGTATATTGCAATAATATTGCCCAACATTTATTTAACATATATTGAAGTGTGTTCAAGTTTGATCAACAATGAAGTGATTAAATGCGATAAGTTTCACATTTTCGTTGTTTGTGTCTCAACTCTTAATACCCATTAAACAAATTAAAGTAGCACCACCATAAATAAAATAAAATAGATAGCAAATAAATAATATAGTAAGACATTATATTCTCCTATAGTTACACAATTATATTTTCTGAATGATAAATACACTTTCGAATTGAAATGTTATACTCTAAAAAAAACAAGCCCCAACGAACGAAGCGAAGCGAAGTGAAGTCCTCAATTGCATCGATCCTCAGATTGCTGAGCTATCTTGGTGCAGTCCAATGCCTTGGGAACTAGCAACCAGTACTGAGATATCGAAAGTCAACTACCGAAGGATCAATCTTTCCATCACTAATACTATTACAATACTCGTTTATTACACAGATGTTTGTTAAGAAATTATTCATTAATTTTTAAATTAATGAGAAATCATTTTAAATTTAATTTATTTTCTTACAAAAACTATATGTTAATATATATTTTAAAATGACATTTGTTACTTTTTAAATTTACATTTGTCATATTATAGTAATTTTTATAAAGATAGATATAAATTATTTGTTTTATACACACAATATGGATGTTAAATCGAAGCTCCTTAAGAGATGGTTAATTTGATATATTATATATGTAAAATTGATAAGAAATACAAAAGTTATTAACTTTTAAAATACATTTACAATTCAATAGTTATAATAAGAAAGTATATTAAAATGTAATTTATACATGTAATATGACCATAAATAATCAATATATTTGTGAATAATCTAAACCTAATTATTTTTGAATTAAAAGTAAATTGGAACATCTCCAATGCATAAATGTTGTTATTACATAATTTTTGACAAATGTCAATTAATTAGATGGGTTGTGAACCACATAAGATAATTATTAGGTTCACAACTTTAATTCTAAAAAAATGTCTTCAATGGACAATATAATCAAACTAAATATTGTCTACTTGACAAATAAAAAATTTATTAAATATGAAAGAAAAAAATTAAATAATTAGATATTTTAAAAATGGTAATAATATTTATTGCTCCCCTCTCCATTCGTTGACTAGAATGTGAATAACAATGTGAATGGACCACATTATTTTAAATATTGTAGACATTAATTATGTCCACCTCATAACTACATTTGGAATAACATTGTGCATTAGAGGATTACAAATGGTGATACATTTATAAATATGTTAATGTATAGTGTAATTTACTACAACTACATTTAAGCATCGGAGATGCTCTTAAAATCTACCCAAGCCTGACAATGAAGCATGTAATTTTTTCCAAAGGATCTTAAAACATGCGAGTCTGCCAGTTAGACTATCACATTCTGAATTAATAGATAGGGGATGTGTCGAAACAATTGACTAGACCATCTCATACAATGTATTATATGTTTTACCATAATGTAAAATCCTTATATTAGTGACATATGTAGAATAACAAGGTATTTTCCAAATTTTAATTTAGTTGGCAATTCAAACAAGAAAAGATTGGTAAAACAACTTTTCACGAGATCGGCTTTGACTCCACACAATCTTTCTTACCTTTCACTGCAATAAATACACAAATACATACTACTCTTTATTTCGAACATACGCATATACACACACCCCTATGTGTGCGTGTGAGTCTCTCTCTCTCTCTCTGTTTGCGTGCATTTTATAACCTTCACTATCCATTCAGTTTCTCTCACAATTGTCCCTCATCTTCACTTTCTCACACTTCCCACTCTTTACTTACTCCTCTTTAATCCCATTCTTAATCTTCATTTCGTGGGCTAATTTACAAATTAATTATTTAATAGGCCGTTTAGCGATGATGCAAATCGACACAGTGGAGGAATTCTCTGCGTCCGCGGATCACGCAATCGCGAAAGGGAAGCGCAGCAAGCGGCCTCGGCCCACCTCCTCCGCAGAGTCCCACACTTTCATCCATCATTCATCTCCGGCCACTTCGAGCAGCACGGAGGAAGACGAGGACATGGCCAACTGCTTGATTCTCCTGGCGCGAGGCGATTCGCCGGCGCCAGACACTAAATCGAGCAGCCGGATATTCACGGAGATGGCGGGCATCTACGTTTACGAGTGCAAAACCTGCAACAGGACCTTCCCCTCGTTTCAGGCCTTGGGCGGCCACCGGGCCAGCCACAAAAGGCCAAAGCCCGCCATCGAAGACGATCAGAAAAAGCAGCCTCCGCCGGATGAACAAGGAGAAGAGCAGAAACAGCTCACTAAACTACTCGATTCGAACAAAATCTGCCAAAGTAATGATCAGATCAGGCCCAAAATCCACGAGTGTTCTATCTGCGGGTCGGAGTTCGCGTCGGGTCAGGCCCTGGGTGGCCATATGAGACGGCACAGGGCGCCGCCGCCTCCGCCGCCGCCGTTGATCGATGTGGAAAGAGATGTTATGACGGAAGATGGTGTAGAGAAACCCAGAAGCGTGTTGGCGCTGGATTTGGATCTCAACCTGCCGGCGCCGCCCGAAGATGATAAATTCGATCAGTTTGCGGCCGAGCAGAAGCCACGTATGGTCTTCTCCACGGCGGCGCTGGTGGATTGCCACTACTAGATCATTAGGGAGAGAAACGAGTGGGGTTGACAATTGGTCGATAATGTGTGAATAATTATTTCATATTTTTTTTTTTTTTT